CACGCTCCGTAGCTCTGCCCGTTTTCACCCGTTATCCTCTTCTGCTCAGGTTCGTCCAGCGAAGTCCCGTCACACTGCTCAGCAGCAGCATCATCATTCACATCATACAGTGCGCCATCGCCGCCACCTCATTGGACCACCGAGACGCCAACTGCAGCGTGATGAAGTTTGTCCGAGACCTCATCCACACAGGAGTCGCCAACGATGTAAGTCTAATGGAAACGTGCTGTAAACGCCAGTAATGTCACAGGAGTCTGCTTCACCTTAACACCTGTGGGTCTGCAGCACGAGGAGGACTTCGAGGTGAGAAAGCGTCTGATTGGTCAGGCTATGGAGCAGCACGGCCAGCAGCTCGTCACTCAGCTGATGCACTCATGCTGCTTCTGTCTGCCGCCGTACACGCTACCTGACGTCGCCGAGGTGCTGTGGGAGATCATGGTGTTCGACCGGCCGGTGAGTAGGTGGTAGGGCATCTCAAACCTGTGTGCATGCTGGGGGTGTCGGGTGACTCTAGGTGCTGATGATGGTGTCCTTGTGTTGCAGACGTTCTGCCGCTGGTTAGAGAGCGCCCTGAAAGGTTTACCGAAGGAGACGTCAGGCGGCGCCGTGACAGTCACCCATAAACAGCTGACTGACTTCCATAAACAGGTCACCAGGTGAGATAACCAGTGTTGGGCAAGTTACTTTGAAAAAGTAATTAATTATAGTTACTAGTTACTTCTTCAAAAAAGTAACTGAGTTAGTAACTGAGTTACAATATTCTAAAAGTAATTAATTACTTGAAAAGTAACTATTGCATTACTTTAAAAAAAAAAAAAAAAAACTTTAACCCTCTGGGGTCCAGGGTATAATTGGCCATTTTTAACTACTTGATTTTCCCTCCACATTTTACCTTTAAAAACTATTTACTTTGCCTTGTTTGGTCTCATCCTTTTCAGCACAACCTCGCGTGTCTGAATTTACAGTCATGTTTTCATTTTTGACATACTGTGTTAACGCAGTTGATCTAAAATCAGACAAAAAACATAAACATAAAATCAGAGTAGAAAAAGTTATATTTTTTAATGTAACAACAACAAACATGTTTAATGATAATATTTCATAACTTTAAATGTAAATATAAATTGTCAATTTTAAAATCCTCTGCACAAGTTTTGCAAACAACAAAGTTATTTGCAGTCATTTACCTTTTACCCTTTGTTATAACCATTTCAAACTATTTACAGAACAATCAGCTGTTCTGCATTCAATGAGATGCCACACAAATTATTTGTGCCACTCCAAAAAAATAATTTCTGTCCACTATAAAGGAGAACATCACAGCCTGATACCTGCAAGTCTGACAGCAGCAGGTGTATCATTGTTTTTATTCAGCAGTCGTGTCATTTTACTGACACACAACACCAAACTATCCTCTACACTACACATTAACTACACACTCCAAACACGCTAAACGTCACAAATCTCTCACATCTCTAAACTCGCTCTCTCTCTTTTTCTGCTCTCTCTCTCTCTCTCTCTCTCTCTCTCTCTCTCTCTCTCTCTCTCGCTCGCCGTCATTCCTAAAACTTCCCCCTCTCCCGAAACAACCAAATGTCATGTTGCCATTAGAGATGGACCGATCCGATATTAGGTATCGGTATCGGTCCGATACTGACCCAAATTACTGGATCGGATATCGGAGAAAAATAAAAAATGTAATCCGATCCATTAAATATCACGAAAGCACCTCACAAAACTTGCAACACGCCGTAACTCACCTCAGAACGTTAGCACGTCGGAGCAGTATGCATCACGTGATAGAGCGGCTGTGGCATGCGGGACCTGTGGTCTGGATAGCATGTGGAGCTTCGCTAGCAACCCGGCATTTCATCTCCGACAAAGTTATCCCCGAGAGAAGTAAAGCAAGTGTGTAAGTCCATCTCTGAATGTTTGTAAAGCATTCCTGCGTTAAGCTTACCAAGCGATATATGGAGCGACTGAAACGGCTTAATGATCAGCTGATCGGCTTTTCTGTCGCGAGTCCGTGTCTCTAGTTTGCTTTTGGCCCACTTTGCACCAGAAAGAGGAAACCAGCGGCTGAACAACAGCAGCACGTTTAAGCTTGATCAGCTGTTGTTAGAATGTATTTACGGTAATATTACTTTCTACTCGAGGATCTTTTTCTACGTAGCTGACGCTGGTAACTGTGCAGGGGCGGATCTAGCAAAGTTTAGCCAGGGGGGCCGATAGGGCATTAACAGGGAAAAGGGGGCACAAAGACATACTTTTCTTTCTTATTCTCATTTAAAATGTCGAGCTTTTAATAAATAATTATCTGACACCCAAAGTTTTAATTTGATGTAAAATGAATAGAAGTCCATTACTGTATATAGTAACTATTAAGTCTAATATATATACCCTAGTAAGCTATAGTACTTTTTCCTTTGGGAAGGCACCATCTGCATCAAATTAAGGTTGATTACGTCAATTAAGCATCATGAGGTGGAGCGTGAGGGGTGGTTCCCTATTTTCTATTTATTTATTTTTGTTGTTGCTGGGAGTTGGAACCCTATTAGTTAGGTTGATTAATATTTATGCTAAGTACTCTTTCAAATACCAGAATAGGGAGGATGGTGTAGGTTTAAGTTTATTAGATTGATCAGTATTGCTGAACTATGAAATATTTTTTTTGGATACAGGTATAACAGAATAGCTTTAGTGTAGTTGTTGTTTTAAACTTGAGTATGAACTTATACAAAATGCAGCAAGATATTTAAAAAACAGTTTTGTTGATTAAAAAACACTATATCGGATTCATATCGGTATCGGCAGATATCCAAATTTATGATATCGGTATCGGACATAAAAAAGTGGTATCGTGCCATCTCTAGTTGCCATATCATTTTTTTGGTTGGTCGACATGGTGCATTTTTCCACCAACACGAACAGGCTGTTTTTGGGTTGGGTTAAACTGAACACAGCTTCAACGTCTGTTTGTTAAAAAATAGTAACGCATTCACAGACAGGCGTTGCTGACTGTGAGGCGTTCAGGGACAGGCGTTGCTGTCTGTGGCATTCAGAAACAGGCGTTACTGACTGTGAGGCGTTCAGGGACAGGCATTACTGACTGTGAGGCATTCAGGTAAGAGTGCGTGAGGTGTGTAGCAGGTTTTGTCGAGACTCACTCGTCTGATGGTGGAACGCAGACAAACTGGAGTCCGGATTGAGCGAGTCTGGACTTGTCCTGACCTGATTGGGAGGTTTCAGGTGTATGAAAAACACTATATGCGCTGGTAAAAAAAACTCTTCCAACTGAGGAGTTTATTTCCTGTAAAATTGATCTCATGGTCTGGTTAAATGTTTTTGATAAACATTCAGTGTGTGGAACACCTGCATAGGTGACAAGTAGATAACCTCACATTTGTTGTTCTGCAGCGCTGAGGAGTGTAAACAGGTGTGCTGGGCCATCAGAGAGTTCACCAGACTGTTCCGATAGCTGCAGCCTTCTCGCACCGCCAGGTGAGCCTGTTCTCAAGTACACTCAGGTGTGTATTCAGCCTGAGTTTGTTTGCTTCTCTGATATGTTTAAGACTTCTTTTTTCCCCACAGGTAAATCTTTTTGTTGACGAGCATTCAGAGGTGACGGCAATAATCTGCGTCTGCAGACGAGGATCCAAAGGGATGAAGATGATGAAGGACTTCGAATGTGAACAGGGCGGCTCACTCTGAAGGACTGACAGATTGAAGACTGATTGGACAGAATGAGTCCACCCCAGCTCACCTGAACTCACCTGACCTCACCTGCAGCAGGTGGTGAGTGGGCGGGGCTGGGTCCGGCAGGTGGGCGGGGTCAGGAAGCTGCGGTCGTGAATCGGAGGATGTGCCTGGTCAACAGTTTTTAGAGATTTATTTTTGGACTTTGGTCGTGGTGGGGTTTTTTTTTTTTGTTTTTTTTTGTCCGTGCCATAAAAGGAGCCAAAAGATTTTCCATGATGCTCTTGGCTGCAGCGTGCTGCGGGAGGATTTGGCGTCACCTTTGACCTTTTTAACTTTGGTTGAATTTTAGTTGTTCTTCCACAAAGTGAAACAGAGTGAACTCTGGGTAATGAGGCGGAGAGACTGACACCATGACATCATCGGTGATGTAGCCTTGTTGTAAACAAATTAAAAAAAACAAACTGCTCATCCAGTGTGTCTGTTATTACTGTCACCTCACTTACCTGTGCCAGTTGGTCAGACAGCTGCATGGTAGCCAGGTGTTTGGGTTCTCGCTCTGGTTAGCAGGTGTTGGAAGGAATGAGGTTGGGAACCTGATGAATTGGCTCAGAAGGGTGCGGAGGCTTTCTAAAATAATAGAAACCTTCATCACAGAACTCTTCAAAGTCAAACAGAGCAAATCTTTTTGCTCCTCCATCAGAGACGCTCCAAGGTCGGTGACAGACTCGTGAAGGCAGTGCAGCAGCTATATTGGGCATCGGAGGGCGTGAGTGAGCTGGTGGTTTGCATCGTTCCAGGTCTCATGCTACAGCACAGAGAAGATGGAAAAAGTTTCTCTGTATGTGGAGCTGTTGGTCTGCAGAAGGCTCAGTTTAAATGCGTCACAGGTGTGATGTAAGCGCGGTTAAACCGTCCCGCAGGAATAAATCCGTGAGTCAGACCTGAACCTGCTCAGGACCACATCCTGGAGCTCACTGAAGTGCTCTTCCTGTCCTCAGACCTCAGGGGAGTGTCTGAGTGGCTTCTTGCAGGAAATTCTCAAACTGACTGTCAGGAGCTGAAGTCTCTAAGCCCCGAGGAAAGGAGCCCCAGTCCTTCATTTATCCCCAGCTTGAATGCAGAGCCATGAACGCTGGGGAGGCGAGGAGCTTGTAATTCAGACACGTCAGTAAATCAAGTGTGACGTTCACTAATCTGTCAGATCCTCTGCATTGCCGAGCATCTCTTTTCCTAAGTCCTTATCTCCTTTCCTTGATGTTTTCCATCATTTGGTGAGGTGCGTAAAGTAAAGAGATCAGAGGTCATTCAAACCATCGTCTTTATTCAAAATACAAAAAACATTTGATTATTTCTGATGTAAACAGACACAGGTCATGCTGATTCTGGAGCTGCAGGTCAGGTGAGCAGGAAGGTTCAGGTGTATGGCATATTTTTCCAAGACTGAAACTACTGATTATTAAATTCTTATTTACTCACAGCCCAAAAGCAGACACCTGCAGGTTCAGTCAGGCATCAAAACACTGGCTCACTCATTTAGTGCATTTAAATTGATGCTTCAGGTTTTACCTGAACAGGTAAACACCGAAGTAGAGTCTGACCCTCTCAGGCCTGCTAGACCTATTACCTGGTCTAAAAACAAAAACACCTGGTGTGAGAATACTGCAACGGCCTTTATTGAAATTTGAACATAGAAACCTCCCAGAAAGGTGTCGGCATGACAACAGAACAGGGAATACACCTGCAGACCTCCACCCGTTTGTCTCAAATGTTCAGTTTCTGTACAGCTGCACCTTCCCTCCAGTCAGGGTTTCCTACTGTTTGGGGGAGGGTGCAGTAAGCAGTGTCTGTGTCGGGTCCAGGGCCCCTGGTTCAGGGGCCGGTGGGGTTCCAGGGTCCTTGGATGTTTTGGCTCTGCAGGATACTCTGCAACTCTTTGAACTGTGCCACCGTCTGATCCTTCACATCGGGGTTTGAGATCTGCAGCCGGATGCTGTCCGTGGACCAGCTCAGCTCTCCGGAGAACATCTCTGTCAGGATCCGGGCCACCACAGGAATCACCTGAGGACAAAAACAACAAAAAACACTGTGAGACATCCACAGGTGTCTGGAGCTCCATGAACATGAGGCAGTCAGGAGGTTGAAAGGTGACTTGGCTTGTGTGTCTGCATCCCACACAGTGAAACTTTATTCCTAACGCTGGGTTAAAAACAGGAAGTGCACAGAGAGAAAGGTGTGGAGGGAAAACTACACGCTTCGAGGGAATTATTCATAAATGTGTTTAGTCGCACACCCACAGACAGGTGACCAGGAGAGGCTACAGAACAGATATTCAACATTTTACTAAAGAATCGGGTTTGTGCTTTGGGCAGAAAAAATTGGATTCTTACATGTGCGCCATGTGTCAACAGCATGTAGAAAGCAAGACTATCATGTCATATTTGACCTCCGACCTCACATTTATGTTCATATGCATTTATGTATCTGTTACCTCTTTAACAAAGTGCACAGAAACAGAAAGAGCTGCTGAGGTAACAAGAAATATACTGAAGTACAAAGGTGGAAAGTAACAAAGTACAAATACTTTGTTACTTTACTTAAGTAGAATTTCCAGGTGTCTGTGGGCCAGTGCAAGTGTGGGGAAGCATGAAGGCAGTGACACTTTTTTAAGTGGCAGCTAATTTCAAATGCAAGATTGTTAGTGAGTTTCCTTGCTAACAACCTAGCTGCTGAACTTCTCAGGGAGAGAAAAGAATAAGAGGTAACTTCAGTCAGAGGTGGAGGAAGAAGACAGAAGAGGAAGAACAAAGGGTATATTTAAAGGTGAGGCCTGCTCAGGGAGATTTAATGATTACATGTGATGTCATCATTTTAATCACATCTGTGTGTGATGAGTTTTCATATTGTGAAACGTGCTGCATAACAAATCAAGTAAATTAACTGTGTGTTATTCAAACATTGCATGAAGTGCAGATAAACAGGTTAGCGTGCTGATGTAATGTAGATTACATAAAGCGCAGCAGAGATTAATATGAAGTTAAGCTGATGGCGCTGAGATCAACACTGAATTCCACCTTTGTACTAACGGATACAACTGTGAAACATCTGCTGACACTGTGTTCAGGTCAGCTGATCACAGCCTGCACTGTGAGCTGGGACTCGCCCCCCGCTGAGCCCCCTTTACCTGTAACACGTTTTCCTGAAGGCAAACTCAGCCTCTACCATGGAGGCAACATAAACTACCTTTTTTAAATTCTTTGTTTACATCACAGATTCAAGATGAGTGCATTCATGAGAAATAAATTTCAGATTTGAATAGCGTTTTTCATTTATTCTCATTTACTAATACTATGTTATTATTGTATTAATATAACACAGGCTCCTTTTACCTTTGCATAATAATAGCTGATAGAGATGTCCTAATCCTAACCTAATGAGTACACGTCACAGCGTGTACTTTTTCACTTTTACTTGAGTAAAGACGTTGAATCAGTTCTTCAACGTTTACTGCAGTATTTTTAAGTATCTGCACTTCAACTTAAGTACAGAATGTACTTTTACCACCTCTGCTGTAATGTACTAATATACAATAAGTTCAGGGAAATCATGTCCAGTTACTTATGAGCTGCACCTGCATGTTTGTGTAATCAGAGTAAATTTGTCATGGAAATGTCTGAGTTTTACTGCAGTACAAACTTTGTGAAGTATGTTTTAAACAACAAAGATGACAAATATTAGCACAAACCTGTTCCCTGTTACATGTGACCTGACAGCTTCATGCTAGCATCACATATATCAACAGAGCTAAAACTGACCCAACAGAGACCACACATAATAGAGGACACACTCTTGACCTACTGATCTCCATGGGCCTGAGCATTTTAAAGGTTACTGTGTCTGATGTGGGCCTGTCTGATCATTACTGTGTTTTCTTTGAAAGTATAATTTCAGCCCACACAAATATATCAACAACAGTGATCACAAAACGGTGTATAACTGAAAACAGTAGTGAAATCTTTTACCAAGTTTTCCCATTAACACCTGACCTGTCCAGAGGGTCAGTCAATGAGCTCGTCAATAGCTTCAATGCTAAAATGTTAAATGTAATGGATACAATTGCTCCCATTAAGGTGAAGGTTATCTCTCCACACTGGTGAAAAATGAAAAAAGAGAGTGTAGGAAAGCTGAGCGCAGATGGAGAAAAACAAACCTCCAGGTTCATTATGACATCTATAAAGAGAAACTTCACAATTATAATTTACACCTGAGGAGTGCAAGGAGGTCATACTTCTCTGACATCATCACCAAAAACAGCTCGGGTCCTATTTGCTATAGTTGACAGGCTAACAAACCCTCCTGTGTCAGTGGCAGCTGAACTTCATTCAACCATGGCCTGCAATGACTTTGCCAAATTCTTCACTGAAAAAATCCAAAAGACTAGACAATAAATTGGTACATCAACAGCAGATAGGGTATGTACTGTATCCACTAAAAAAATGTTTAAACACCATCAAACAGTTTCACCGGATTAACAGCAAAGACCTGGAGGACATCTTAGGTCAACTGAACTCCTCTTGCTGTTTAGATGTCCTGCCAACAAGTTTTTTCAAAAAGGTCTCAAAGACTTTAGAGTCAGACCTGTTACAGATCGTCAACTTTTCCTTAATGTCAGGTGTGTTTCCAGAACCACTAAAAACTGCTGTAATAAAACCTATACTGAAAAAGGACAATCTCGACAAGACACAAATGAACAACTACAGGCCGATCTCAGATCTCCCATTTTTAAGTAAGATCATTGAAAAAGCAGTTTCTCAACAGCTCAATTACTTCTTAACACAGAATAACTGCTATGATGCCTTCCAGTCAGGTTTTAGACAGAACCACAGCACTGAAACCGCTCTGACCAAAGTGTTTAATGACATATGTCTGAATACAGACAGTGGAAAAATGTCAGTCTTAGTTTTACTGGATCTCAGTGCAGCATTTGATACAGTTGACCACAACATATTACTCAAACGACTGGAGAACTGGGCAGGTCTTTCAGGAACTGTACTAAACTGGTTCAAAACATACTTAGAAAACAGGAAATACTTTGTATCAATAGGTAACTTCACATCTGAGCAGACAAGTATCACATGTGGAGTTCCCCAAGGTTCCATCTTGGGACCCCTTCTGTTTAACATCTACATGCTCCCACTGGCACAGATTATAAACAACAACAAAGTAAACTATCACAGCTATGCAGATGACACACAAATATATATCACAATGTCACCAGGAGACCGAGGCCCTGTACAGGCTCTTGGTAAATGCATTGAGGAAATCAATGACTGGTTGTGCCACAATTTTCTCCAGCTAAAGAAAAACAAAACTGAGGTAATAGTCTTTGGTGCCAAAGAAAAACGATTACAGGTCACCAGAGAACTTCAATCTATACATCTAAAAACCACAAACCAGGCGAGAAATTTGGGTGTAGTGATGGATGCAGACCTAAACTTGGAAAAACACATTAAGACAATAACAAAGTCAGCTTACTATCACCTCAAGAATATATCAAGGATAAAAGATCTGATGTCTCAACAGGACCTGGAAAAACTAGTCCATGCATTCATCTTTAGTAGGCTTGATTACTGTAACAGCATCTTTACAGGTCTACCTAAAAAAATCAGTCAGACAACTACAGCTCATTCAGAACTCTGCTGCTCGAGTCCTCACTAAGACCAAAAAAGTGGACCACATCAGTCCAGCTCTGAGGTCTTTACACTGGCTGCCTGTCCGTCAGAGGATAGACTTTAAAGTTTTGATGCTGGTCTATAAAGCTCTGAATGGTTTAGGACTAAAATACATCAGTGACCTCCTGACCCAGTATGAACCTTCCAGATCCCTCAGGTCATCTGGATCCTGTTTTTTATCAGTTCCCAGTAAGAACCAGACATGGAGAAGCTACATTCAGCTTTTATGCTCCATATATCTGGAACAAACTCCCAGAAAGCCTCAGATCAGCTGAAACACTCAGTTTATTTAAATCCAGGTTGAAGACTCACCTGTTCTCAGCTGCATTTGAATAAAGCACCAAATCCCCACTGTTTTACTTTTAAGCTCAAATTTCAAAACTTACATTTTAACTACTGGTTTTTATCTACTATTCCTTTCTTTTTTTCTATTTTAAATCATGCTTTTTATTTGTTTTTGTTTTTTAATGTCTCTGTAAAGCACTTTGAATCGCCTTGCTGTTGAATTGTGCTATACAAATAAACTTGCCTTGCCTTTTCATGAATTTCCAATGGGAGCTGACACTGACTATTTCCTGGCATCTGCAGGACTGAGCTCTGACTCGGGTCATGTTGTTTAGTTAGGAGTTTGGAGACAGGCAGGTTCTTCACAGCAACATCAGCCAATAGGAAGTACTGAGGCTGCTCAGGAGGAGGTAAGTGATGTAGTGAAGGTTAACTGGAGGTGGAGGGGTGGAGCTCATAAAGATTCTGGTTCTGACGTGTTCGGACCCAAGGCTTCTTCATTTTTTTTTGCACTTGTTATAAAACCGTTAGCACTGCCACTCAGTTTAAGCTCTGCCCCCTCACCTGCACCATGATGAGCTTCTTCTCTTTGGGTTTATTGTCGGGCCAGTCCTCCCCGAAGCAGAAGTAGATCTCGAAGGGCGGCGGATTCGGGGCTTCGCCTTTCTGGAACAAGATCAGCCCTGCGGACAGAAGCATGTCGGTTAGAACATATCAGGCAGCATGTCAACAATCCCGCACACCAAACTCACCTTGCAGGAAGTCATTGAGGCTGAAGACCTTGATCTTCTTCTCTCTCTCCATGGGGTTGGACGGGCCGTGTTCTGGCATGCCCGGTCCAGACCAGAACACCTTACACTGGCAAAGGCGGACGGCGTAAATGTCCTGCTCACAGATCTCCAGGATCAGGCCGCGGTCCATCACGTCCAGCAAGGCCTCGGTGTAAAATCGCTGTTTCTCGTTCTGCATCTCTGATGTTCCCGGGAACAGCACCTGCTGGAGGTTGACAGGTCCGAACAGGTCCACCTGCTCTGGGGTCGGTTCCAGGTGTCCGTAGTACAGCCGGCAGCCCTGAGGGTTACTGACGGTCAGAGAGCCCATTGTACGGCCCCGGTACTGGAACTTCAGGTCCAGATCTGTTACTATAGCAACACGAGATACAGGACCATTACTGTGCCAGTAGAGGGGGGACCATGAATTAGCAACAGTCACCACAGTAAAGCCACCAAAACAAATCGTTATCGGGACAAGAAATGACATCAGGGTATGAGATTTTGGTCATAAAGCACAGCCCTAATGTTCACCTGTGAATGCGCAGGTGAACCTCATGGGTCTGTGAAGGTAACCCTGAGCTCTGCTTTGTGGTGCTGTATTGTTAAAGTGTGACATCAGAGTTGGTTTGATGGTAAACTGTCTGAGCAGCGCCACGTGTGGTAGCGTTTTAGCCCTGAATCTGTGACAGGAAACTGCATTAGAGGTCAGGACTCACGTGGGACGCTGCTCAGCAGGTCGTACTTGCAGGGCTGGTGGTTCTGAGGCTCTGCCTGGTTCTCGACGCCCACCATGCCGCTGGCCTCCATTAGGTCCGGCTCTGGTTGCGCAGTGGCAGCGTTCAGATCCTGAAGTCTATTATGGAGGAAGTGTGCCTGACCCTGGAGATCAGAGGTCATGGTGATGTCAGGAAGCAGAGGCACTGGGATATGCGGTGGTCCAAATGTCCCGTTAGGGGGTAGGCTGAACTGGTTCATCTCTGAGGGAGCCGGGAAGGAGGCAAAGGGGGCGGAGTCACTCAGCCTGGGGTCTAAGGAGACATGGCATCATCACATTACATCAACAGCCACAGTGTTTCCATGGTGACACTGAGTCGAAGGTGTACTTACTGATGGAGAGGTCCATCAGGTTCGGCATCTGAAAGGATCAAAGTGTTTCGGTCAGTCACGTGAGAACATGTCAGACTGTTTACATCATATGATCGTTCTCACCTCCTCGTCATCGTCCTCAGCGCCGTCTGAAACACAAAACGGGGATCATCACTTCCTGTCATCATTGCACATCAGAAGGTTACAGTCATGCAGGTGAAGCTCACCTGTGCTCCCGGGGTGCTCGCACACTTCGTAGATCTTGTACGGCTGGACCGGCGTCTCTTTGGTGCCATCATACTTCAGCTGAAACTCGCGGCTTTTGTTCAGAGCACAGCGCAGATTTGCCTTCCACTTGGCAGGGTCGGGTTCATCTACTCCCTCCTGGTACTTCCCCGTCTCTAGAGCCCATGCCTAGGACACACAGACCAGGGCATAACTCACATCTGACAGATAGGACTCACCTGTGCTCAAGCTGAGAGATGTTTTGCTGTGCCAGCAGTTTCCCTTTGTTTCCAGTGTTTATCATAGGCAACCCTACTCAAAGTCAATAAACACTCAGACTGACACACAAAAGAGGAAGCAGTCAGCAGAGGAGGAGGAAGTGACATCATCACCTGTGTTCAAACTGAAGTTGTTCAAAAACTGTGAAACGAAACTCCGCTGGAAGGAGGAAGTCAAACGCCTACTTCCTCTTCACATGTGTCACTCAAGAACCCGCTTGTAGTTTTTACTTTGGTTTGTCTGTGTGTGTGTCCGTGTATGTGTGTGTCCTTGTATCTGTTTTTGTGTGTGTTTGTGCACATGTGTGCATCTGTCCGTCTGCGTGTGTTTGTATTTGTGTACATGTTTAGACATCTTGTGAGGACAGAAAAAAATGGTATGCTACTATACTTGTAGGGACTAACAATTACCTATGAGGACAAAATGTGTCACCATGTGGTATTAGTGACAGGGTTACAATTAGCTTACTTAGGATTAGGCTGTGGGTTAGGATTCAGCATTCATTTTTGATGGTTGGGGTTAGGGAAAGCATTATGAAATGAGACGAGGTCCTCACAAAGATATGAAAACGAGTGTGCGTTACTATTTTCTGTAAAAAAAAGTTTTTTGAAACTTGAAACATGATCACAGCAGATGCTATATCAGAGGTTAGAGGTCAGGTGTGAAGGGTTAACCTGACCTTGAAGATGGTGTTCTCCTCGTCTGACACGGGCGTGTGGCGCGTGGCGTGTTTCCAGGGGATCTGGAAGAGGCGGTGGTCCGCGCTGAGCCACTGCAGACCGGGGTACCTGCCGCTGTTCACCTGAGCCAGCAGCCAGGGCTTCAGGCGGACACGCCGGGGCTGGACGCTCATGCTGGGAGGACTGGGAGCGAGAGAGGATTCGCTCAGACCGCGGAAACGGTCCCTGAGCACGAGCCGCTTCTGACACTTCGGAGCTTTGAATTGATAACTGTAATAAGTGAAAAATTGTCGAGGAATTGGTTTTTGATCGAACTGTTTCACTCCGCGCGGGTTCACGAGCACAGATACATGACTGCGTGTGCGCGCTGGGCGGATGGACTCACCTGGCCGGGTCCGGTCCTGGTTCAGAGTCTGCGCGCTGTGTTCCTCCTCTGCGGCGTGACGTCAGCAAACAAACAAAGAAAGGAACAAAAACAAACAAACAGAGGGCGGCGGAGCGCTGAAGGGCCGGAGAAAAGTCCCGAGACAAACTCGTCCTCAGTCCGATCACATGACGTCAAGTTAACTTGAAGGAAAACTGCTTCCGGTGGCAGATCAGCTCTCGACAAAATAAAGCTTCCGCAGAAGTTATTTAAAAAAAACAGAAAGAGTCAAACTGATGCACAGTTACTTAAATAGCCATCCCCGAGGAACCCTAACCATGCATCTGTTTGAGAGGAACCAGGGCCCTGTGCTTCGTACGTCGCTTACTACATCCAAGATCAAATGAAACATCCAAGACCAAATCATCGCGCTAACTCTGAGCTCGCTATTCCGGTTCCCCGAACACACCTGTTGTTGACGATTAGTACAGCTGGATGAAGTAATGTGAGATCACTGGGTGGCCCAACAGGGGCTACGCATCGATAGTAGAAACATTGATCGGCAACCCTTTGATTGGTCGGCGAAAATGTCGACGGAGCGCGCTCGGTATTTTTCGGCAGCAGAGCAAGAACTCTTGAGTGAGGGATTTCAGGAGTTTCAGAGTTTAATTAAAACGCAAGGGAACACTGCAAAGGCTGCAAAAGCAAGGAGAGAGGGCTGGCAGAAAGTTACTGACAAATTAAACTCGTAAGTAATTTAATAATAACAATAATAATAATGGAGTGGATTTATATAGCGCTTTTCAAGGCACCCAAAGCACTTTACAATAGCACTATTCAGTCACTCTCACATTCACACACTGGTGGAGGCAGCTACGGTTGTAGCCACAGCTGCCCTGGGGCAGACTGACAGAAGCCAGGCTGCCATATTGCGCCATCGGCCCCTCTGGCCAACACCAGTAGGCGGTAGGGTAAATTTATCATATCACACCATATTATCCAATATTATATTACATTATATTATATTATAATATGTTATATTATATCCCCTTTCACATTAGAGCCACAACAGGACCCACTAGAACATGGGAACAAGTAAAAGTGAAATATAAGAATATTCTACAGAATGGTAATATTTATCACTTATATTGCTTGTCGTCTCTTGGAAAGAGACCCTGGAATACTCTGTTTGTTTGTTTATAACAGCAACCAAGAAAAGGGCAGAGCAAAAAAAAAGACAGGTGGTGGTCCTGCATCCCCTCGTCAACAAGTTGGTTAAGTGAATAATACCCTCACGGGAAAATCGATATCTCTCTATGAGCACACTGTCGCGCTGAGCTAAAGGATCCTGTCTGTCCCGCAATATACGCTGAATTCTGAGGACTCTCCTTATCAATCTCGCACCTTCCGCAATGGGTTGCTCGCGTAAACGGACAGGACATGGCTGCGACAGACTTCCCAAATCCACCTTGGATTTTATAGCCGTGGTCTCTCATCTTGATTACACGAAGTAATTCACAATTACTACTCTGAAATATGAATTACATCTGTAATAATCACATACATGTAATAGAATGTTAATAGTACATTTCCCTTTTTTAGGGAATGACCTGTATGTATCTGTGTGAAATCAATAAAAGGATCAAGTGCTGCATTATTTTTAGTTACATTGATGTTATTTATTTATGGTGAAACAGTGGTGGAATATCGCTGTTGCTTTCGTATGAATGACGCGGACATACCTGCGGCCTGATCCTGTAAACATCCTGTTTACATAAAGTAAACCTGCTCCCCAGCAGGTTTACGCTTACGGCTCTGTTGCTATGACAGCAAGTCCCGGATGGGCTTCGGGGAACCGACTGATCCAGGATCACGCGAAATCGTCAACAATCTCATCCAGCTAACTCACTTAGCGCGGTACGAAGAACAGGCCCCTGGACAGAACCACACCGCAGCAAACAAACATCCTGACAGTTCTAAACGCTGAATCTTTTATTGTGAAGGTGTGTCAGGCGGCATCCGGCGAGTTACGCCTCTCTTCAGGTAACTTTACGGACTTTGTTTTCTTTGGTAGTCTCCAGGATCCTCCCTTCCTCCTTCCGGAAACTTAAAACAAGCGTTTAGTTTTTGTTGACCTGTTTATCACAAACAATCAATATCCATTCAGAAAGAATTAATCAGAATAAAACAATAAAGAGCACAACAGAAATTTGACAGATACCAATGAAAAATATTAAATAAAATGTGTTTTATTATCAGACATTATCAGTGCAGGTAATCAATACTGATCCGTTTTATAAATTTTTCTTTATGTGTTTAATATGCTTTTTTCTGCAACACGATGATGTCACAAGGACTACCGGTCACGTGATCTCTCACTGGAAACATGATAACTGTTTTTAGTGTGAAGAAGAGCCAGGGAGAAGTGAGGAAGGTGAAGAGCTTTAGCTTCCACCTCGAGAGCTGCAGTAGGGGATGATGATTTTTTTTTTTACAACCAAAAAAAGAAGAAACTGATCAATAGTCCTGATTGATAAACATGAACACAAGACTGACTCCTCAGGTGACAGGTTAGGGTAAGGTAAATGTAATGTATGTTTGCACTGATTGCCGATCACGCTTCAACTGAGTCGTCCTCGGTCAGAAGGAATGGTACTCCACAGTGATGTAGTTCAAATAACTTTACTAAGGAGGTGGCAGATGACATCAACAGGATGTACAGCGTTGGTAGGGAGGCATTACAGTATTCACATGCAGGTAAAGGGGGTGTGAGTGTGTATATGGTCATCTGTAAACAGAAAAACAAACATTTGTATTAACCACTATGGATAGCAGTGTACCCCTTCTACAGTACTGTGGGTTTCCAGCGTAATGTTATACAATCTGCCATAACCTCATGGCCACTAGATGGCACCCTAAGACCATAAATTAATTTCTGGCTCGGATATACATTGGCAAACCAGACCTCTGCAGATTACAACGCTTCAGAGAATAAACATAGTAAATAGTTACATCCACCTACAACCACAATGCTTGACAGTAAGTCATATATGGAATGAAATCTGGGCTGAACACAAGCCTGCCTGTAGTAGGTCAAAAAACATATCTTAGCGATAGCAACGGGACTAGCCTCTTACGTAGCAAATTACACAGATAAAGTCAAACAAGCATCACTCTCATCTTACAATACTCACATGGTAAGCACGCACACAGTATTAACTCACACAGGAATGCAAGTAAATACGTTATCCTCCGACACACCTCCCATCTGTGCAGAACTGCACTGGACACGTTCACAACCGGAAGTACAGATACCGAGGTGCATCATGGGTAACGTAGTATAAACAGTTACAATGAACAAGCGGACTTTTAACAGTAAAGGATGGATGGACAGACAAATGGATACCTGAATTGATGATGGCTGGATGGACGGACAGATGGCTGGGTTGATTTTACAAATGTGTCTGTAAAATCCTGATTTATTAAAGTCGAGATCTGATTATCAGAACAAAATTAATTAATCTTCTGGAAACAATAAAAAGACTGACATCATTAAAAGTTTGTTTTTATTTTTGAACTTTTTTTCTCCACAAAAAACCCCCAATAAGGCCGCCAGAAGAAAAAAAAAGTGAATCACGAGTATGACTAAAGTACAGTTTGGATTCCTGCTCTTTAATTGGCTGAATATGTGACTTGTTTCTTTCTGGTTTCTGATTGGTAGGGTTTGGACACCAGTGGCATCTCCTCTGATCAATCAGTCTTCATGTTTTCATCTCTCTGAGGCATCCCAGTGTTGACTGCTGGTATGTCTTCACCATGAATACTTGCGGGCTCAACTGGCAACCTCAGATCCTCCCAGGTGTGAGCTCCACCTTCATGTTTCTCTGCAACAGTAAACAGGTGTGATGATGATGATGGAGGAGGAAGAGGGGGTCTGGTCCTGCTCTCTCCAGGCTCGCTGAGCTGTGATGATGATGGAGGAGGAAGCAGAGATGGCCTCCTGGTGTAAACTCCTTGTCTGCCATGAAAACTGCCAGACTGACGAGTAAAAGCTCTGCTGCCGTGTGACGACTCGTCCATGAAGACAGGTGGGCTGCTCACCTGAGAATCACACAGCACAGGTCAGTCTCTCACCTGAGTCAGACTGCGCATAAAGTCCTGCTATAAACAGGAGCTAAAGAGGAACCAATGTGTTAAATAGTAAAATCATGACATCAATGAAAGCTGTGTTTGAGGACTTCAGGATCTACTGTTCACCACATGACACGAGTACTGAAACCACAGGAAGCGACATCACATTCAGAATAACTCACCATGTGAAACCACAGTAACCTCTGCAGAGAGATGACACACATGACTCAGTTTAATATCTGAGACACAACAGATTTTATCATCTGAACCTGTGAGCGGAACAAACCTCAGAAACAGCAGTCTGAATATGTGATGCTGCAGAAACGCTCTAGACAACAGTTTAACATCTCAGTCTGACTCATAGCTTCATGTTTCAGGTGGTTCAGCAGAATGAACACAGCATTTATTTCCTCATGAAATTTCAAACAAAAGACTATTCAAAGATTTCTAACCTGTGGTTTAATAAAACGGGTCAAAGAGGCAGCTGTCATAGGCTTCAACACCAACTCCATGAAAGGTGGATGGGTGGATGATGAATTACATCACATTAGACCCTCATGCTCTCTGTCCGGCTGGTGTGTGAAATTCAAACACCCCCTCAGGTGTGTTAAAGGTTTTACTTCGTACCACATTGGGATGTTTTCCGAAGGCGATGGCGGGGCGATCCTCAGGGTTCTGCACGCGTCTCCTATGGACGGTCCAAAGTAGCAGAAACAGAATCGCAGAGAGCAGCACGATGAGGATAAGCACAGCGATTCCTCCTGCCAGCGTGCTGTCCACGTCTCCAAACAACTGTTGCTCCTTGAACGCACCACTTGGCACTGAAACACAGAAGTTATTTCAGTAAAAGCATCATGGGAGCTGTGAATGTGTGTGTGTGTTTATCTAATAAAGGAAACAGATCAATGTCCTTCCTACTCATCAAAGAATTAGTGATCAGTTACCTTTGACCGCTCGCATTCAGTCCCCTCTTGTAAGTAAGTAAGTAAAATTTTATTTATATAGCACATTTCTAAATAAAAGATCACAAAGTGCTTCACAAGGTATAAGACAAAAACAGACAAAAGTTAACAAAATGCAATTCTAAAAAGATGTGTTTTTAGTTGTTTTTTAAAAGTGAGTCCGCAGATCTTAAGTTCTGAGGAAGAGCGTTCCACAGTCTGGCGGCCACAGTGGCAAAAGCTCTGTCTCCCTTGGTTTTCAGCCTTGTATGCTGAATAACAAGTAGGCCCTGATCACAAGACCTCAGGGACCTACTAGGGACATAGGGCTGTAAAAGTTCAATGATGTAGGCTGGTGCTTATCCTTGAAGAGCTTTAAATGTCAGAACCAGTATCTTAAAATGGACTCTGAATTCAACGGGGAGCCAGTGCAGCTGTATAAGCAACAGTGTTACATGAGAGTACTTAGATGTTTTTGTCAGAAGCCTTGCTGCAGCATTTTGGACAATCTGCAGACTGCAGTTTTTGTTTAGACATGTAAACAGTGAATTACAGTAGTTCAATCATGGTGAAATGAATGCATGAATAACAATCTCCAGTTCAGTATGAGATACTAAAGGGCTCAATTTAGAAATGCTTCTTAAATGATAGAAGCAGGACTGAACCAGAGATTTGACGTGAACATCCAGGGTAAGAGCAGAATCAAAGGTTACCCCTAGGTTCCTGATAGACGATTTCACAAATGTTGAAAGAGGACCAAGAGCATTCATTATGTTAGGTACATGTCTGTCTGGAGCACATACAAGGACTTCGGTCTTTTCTTCATTAAGTTGGAGGAAGTTGTCAGCCATCCAACCTTTGATGGATTCTAAGCACACATTTAGAATCTGCAGCTTAGAAACATCTTCTGGTTTAAAAGAAATGTATAACTGGATGTCATCTGCATAGCAGTGGTAGCCAACGTCCTCAAAGGGACTCAAAATATGCCGGAGAGGAAGTAGATATATTAAAAACAATAAGGGCCCCAGCACAGAATGTTGTGGCACACCATAGGACAGGGACGTGGAAGATGACCTGTACTTAGAGACCGCCACAGAAAAGTATCATTCATAGAGATATGAGGAGAACTACTCTAAGGCAGACCCAGATACACCAACCCAGTATTTCAGCCTTTCAAGAAAAATGTAATGGTCAACGGTGTCAAAGGCTGACGTGAGGTCCAACATTAGGAGTACAGAACATTTTTCTGCATCGTTTTGCATCAGAATGTCACTGGAAACTCTAAGAAGGGCTGTCTCAGTAGAATGAGCTCCACGAAAGCCAGACTGAAATTTGTCAAATATATTATTGAATGTGTGAATGTGAGTGTGAATGGTTGTCTGTCCCTATGTGTTAGCCCTGCGACAGACTGGTGACCTGTCCAGGGTGTACCCCGCCTTTCGCCCTATGACAGCTGGGATAGGCTCCAGCGCCCCCCGCGACCCTGAAAAGGAGAAGCGGAAGCGAATGGATGGATGGATGGATGGATGGATATATTATTATGTTTGTCTAAAACTGCTGTAAGCTGCTTAGCCACAACCTTCTCTAATATCTGAGCAATTAACAGTATTTTTGAGATTGGTCTGTAATTGCTAGTGAGAGATGGGTCCAGCGTGGTTTTTTTTAACAGGGGGTGTATAGCAGCAGTTTTAAAATAAGCATGGACTTTACCAGACCCCAGTGAGGTGTTAACTATGGTGAGCACACAGGGACCAATAGAGTGGAAGACATTTTTGAAATACGATGCGGGTAAAATGTCGAGTGAACAGGAGGATGCTTTCATTGCATTAACTATTTTTACCAGCTCTGATAGTGAGACGGGTAAAAAGCTTTCTAAAATGACAGGCCGAGATGGCGTAGGAACTGACAATGCAGATGCTGGTGGGGACAATTTTTTCCTTACATTACTTATTTTTTCTAGAAAGAAAGAAATGTTTCACAGTCTTCATTAGAAGGAATAATGGCAGCAGGTGGAGCAGGAGTAACAATATCAGTAATAGTGTCAAATAACACCTTGTGTAATGTCACAGCTTCATGTTTGTAATATGTGTGTTTGTATGTTCATATTAACGCATGTTCTCAGGTTTCATGCTCACCTGCTTGGCCTCTCTGCAGGACTTCGATGTCCACTGAAGCTGACACTTCTTCTCCCGACTCTTCATCTCTGGCGATGACCTGCAGAGCGGACATTAGAGCATTGTTCACGGGTCAGCCTTAAGGTTAAAACCAAAAATCATCCAAAGTAATGATTAAAAACTGTTGTGTTTGTTTGATTTTTCTAGACCAACATTAAAGTGTTCAAAGAGCTGAAGGGGATTCACACTGTGAAGCTTTTAGTCCTGATCTTCAGTCTCTCCTCCTGCTGATTCTGGTGTTTGGATCACTTCCACCTGAAAGATGTCTCACTGCAGCCCGAGGCCTTGTTATTTCACAGAGATGTTTTCTTACAAATCCAAACAGATTTATTTTTAGCATTCTTTGACTACAGGGGGACTTTTCTTTCTTCAGCTTAGTTTGTTTCTGTAGAATCACACTAAAACTGAAAAATTGTACTGCAGTGAAAAAAAACTACTTTGCTGTCTTCCTATTGTCTCCTCATCGGTTGAGGCTCTGCTTTTTAACCACCTGTCACTGCCATCAGACAGGGGTTTTGCACCCTTTTTTTAAACATCTGCAACTCCCGTAACCCCCAAACCATTTGCTCAGTTGAAAGAATTCCAATGGTTCCTGAAAGCAGTGAGTCTGTGCTTTTCACTGATATTAGGGTCATTACTGTAATCTGCTAAGCATGGTGTCACAGCAGCTCCACAGAGACGTTTTTGCTGTTTGCTGTGTTGTTTTCAGTTTTATTTTCCAAGATTTGGATGTGGCGCCCTGCCTGGGGTTCCAATAATGACTCTAATATCAGTGAAAAAGCACAGAGTTAATGCTTTTTGGACCTATTGGAATTTTTTGATACCGCCAAATGTTCAAGAGTTATTGTAATATGACCTAAAAGTTCTAAAACCCAGTTTTAACAAGTTAATGTGCTCCAGGCCTCTGTTTCTAGTTTCATTGGATAAAAGTATTTATTCTCAGCCTCTTCAGCCTTTTATTCTGTGAAGCATGTCTTTAAGTTTTTAAAAACTTGTGGTGCAACTGCACTCTGTCCGCTCACTGGGTGCTGGACACCAAAAATTGAACGTCCCAGAGAAGAATCAATGTGGATCTGAAGCTGAGGTCCAGAACTTTTTCAGAGTAATCTAAACCAGGTAGCAGTAAGAGTTACTGAGGATCACCTCAGACCTCTGGGCTGACCTTGGTCTATTTTCAGCATCTTCTTCCTGTCATATGGTCCCGTTTGTCTCTCAACATGAACTTTACTGATATCACTTTAGCAGATAGCAGATGTTCCTCCATCTTTCTGTGCTCATAAGTTTATATTAGCGTAGCTACCTCTCTGCAGTTAACTATCAGCTACACTTTCACTGATGTTCCAAACATGGCTGTTAGTTTCTTGCTTACTCCATATTTGAGGCACAGCTGTTTTATTTCAATCGGAACATGATGTATCATCGTGAGATATAAACTATCTAATTTCCTGATGTTAAACATTATTCTACCAAGCACACTGATCATTTTATTGGAGGTGAAGGAAACTGGACCTGGTAATGGTCACTGACCTCCTGCAGACACTGATACACACAGAGAAACCATCCAGGATAGATCCACCCTTTAAAATAATTTCAGGTTCAGCTAATTCAAACCACATCCAACCAACCTGGGATTAAAGTTAACAAACTGAAAATCACCTGATTCCCATCTTACAGGTGAAGGTCAGGCCCATCAAGCCTCTACCCCTCATTATTGCTTATTCAGACTTCTGATATTATTTTAAGGTGGAAAAATTCCACCTATAAGACCATGGATCCACTCTCTCAATGAGACATTGAGTTGGTGCTAGCAGCGGCAGCTAATCGTGATACTGGTGGTGACAGTATACTGGTGGTGTTTAACAGGTGAGTTGGTTTGATCTATGTCTAACTCACCTGTAGGATTTGTCTGTCAAAGGCGCGTAGTTGGTTTGTCTTGGCGATCAGAACCCCCTCCTTTGTGACTTGATACAATTCGGATGGAGGATGGAGCAAATAGTGGATATTTGGGTTCCTGCCCTGTGATTTGACAGTAGAGATGACTCACTGATATGATGATGTAAGTAACACAGGTAGTGTAGCATGTGTTCTTACATCAGGGAAGTCACGGTCTGACACCTGGACCTGCAACACCTGGTTCCCATAGGTGGAGACGATGGAGGCAGGGCTAGAGCTCTGGATGATGAAACCTTTGTAAGTGGTTCTGTTGAAGGCCGGAGGAAATGCGTTCTCATAGAGAACTCTGACCAGAACTGACGCCACACTGTACTTCAACCTGTCATCCACCTGGCATACCTGTACAGGTGAGAGGGAAAGTAGATGTCTCACAGTTTTCAATTCAATTCAATTCAATTCAATTTTATTAATACAGCCCCAAATCACAATATCAGTCACCTCAAGGCACTTTATATTGTAAGGTAGACCCTACACTAATGCATAGAGAGAAAAACCCAACAATCATATGATAAGTGCTATGAGTTTGGCAACAGTGGGACGGAAAAACTTCCTTTTAACAGGAAGAAACCTCCGGCAGAACCCGGCTCAGGGAGGGGCAGCCATCAGCAGTGACAGGTAGGGGTGAGAGAAGGAAGACAGTATAAAAGACATACTGTGGCCAATTGCTGTGAATGAAGCAGAAAACAGGAAGGTATGTCGTTACCATGATTGTGAGCATGTAGTTTGTTGTCAGTCGTTGATCATCTGCTGCTCTGGTTAACCTGATCTCACCTGTTGTGTTGTTGATCGTGAACCTGCCCTGATCATCACCTGTGGGTGAAGCAAACACACCTGTACACACATGTTTGTACATGAGTCTAATGGTGAGTGTGAGTGAGTCTGACCTGAGAGGATGGTGTAGGTGAGAGGAGCATTGATCCCTTTGTCTCCATCCTCTGCTGTGATTGGGCCAGGAGAAAAGTCCAGACCCACGTCCTGAAACAAAAAATAAATAAATAAATACCTGCAGGTATGTGGACAGGTATAAAACTTGTTCCCTAAATGCTGGGACGCTAAAATCTAAATGACTTGAAAATATTGTGATACTGAAAAACATCTCCAGAAACATTGGGCTGTTTTTATTGACATTTTATGGTCTGGTAATGTTTTCAGAAGCCAGTTTGTAAATAATTGCATCCACCTGGTTCCTCGGGTATTTACCTGGTGTTTCTGTGTGATGTTGGTTGTGTAGGTGGGATTCATGCAGACAGGCACACCTGGAGACACAGGTGTGCAGGGCAAGAAGTGAGGATACTGGTCATCACCATCCTCGATGTTGATGTTGAGAACAGCAGATGTGTTGAACTTGTCCACAGTGTTTGATTCCTGTCAGGTATGTAGAGGTGTGACATTATTTTCACTTTTCTGTGATAATTTGACGATCAGATATCACAGGGTTTGTTTTTTTGTTGAATAGTCTTGCATTCCTGCTGGTTAGAGTGTAATGTCCTGTGATGACTTCGCAGTAAAATAAAACCTCTGACCTCACCCTGATTACCTGGATGTATCACCTGTCTAAATGTTACCTGGGCCCACATGATGAGCTGCAGGTGAGTTCTCGTCTCATAGTCCAGAGGTTTGTTCAGAACTACCTTTCCAGTATTGGGCAGGTCGATCCTGAAGAACTCGGCATCTTGCTGCAGGCAGACAGATGACAGGTGAGATAATCAAGAGCTGCAGCTCGTGGTCAAGCAGCAATTGGTGGGCGTTATTCTTACTGATGACGGGTCGATGATGTAGCTGATCATGTCCCCATCTGCATCAACAGCCTTCACAGTGAAAACCACCGAGTTCACTGCTGTCAGCTACACACAAAACAATGAAAAATCCTGTTTACACAGGTGAGGAAACACCTGAGGCACCTGTTAAAACGATGTACATGTGATGGATGCTCATTGGCTGGTTAAGATGAAGGTAATTTTTCTGGTTGTACCTCACTGATGGTGAACGGCTGAATTGTCTCCAACAGGAAGTTTGGTTTGTTGTCATTTTCATTCAGAATCTCCACCAAAATCCTGTAGTTACCCTGAAACAGGTGCAGACTCACCTGAGCGACTCTGAGTCATCAAATGTATTTACCGCTCAGCACAGGACCTCAGATGACTTACCTGTATGATGTCATTTTCATAGCAAATTAGCTCTGCAATGAGCACTGATCCCTCCACCTGTCAGACAGAGATCCAGCATGAGGTGAGACATTTTAAGATGTATTTCTGCTGCAGGTGAGAGGTGTTCAGGTGTACCTCTCGGTCGAGGACTCTGAACACTGAGGAGTTGAGTCTGATGGTCCGGCCCTCTAAGTAGAACCAGTTGGCGTTGCGTCCCGACAGACACAGGCGGATGGTGTTAGCTCGTGGACCTGCAGTGATGTTGATGCTGGAGATGAATTCACCTGTTGGACTATTCTCTCTGACTGAGGTGAAGATGTCGGAGCCCTCCCGACATAGGCTCGCTGAGGATGAAGCAGAGGATATCTGATGTGTCCTTGGCAGTGAGGACGATCAATAACTGATTATGGTTTCATTGATCCGGTTCTGTTGTTATCTAAAGACATATTTAAAGACAAACTTCTCAGGAGTGTCTGAAAGTAGAGAGTTACTTTTTTAGTCCTGATTAGGACTTCAGGATCTTTTTATCACATCACCTTAAACCAACCTTAGATTACTAGCCACATTTAACCAAATCATGCTGCACCGTATTTACCTCACATTCCCATTATTTTACAGTTGCCAGTTACCCAATCGAGCACGTCTTAGGACTTGGAAGGAAGCCAGGATATCCGACAGAGCCCACACAGGCATAGATCATGCTCAAAAAACCCTAATCCAACATTGAGATTCAAACCGGGAACCTTCTTAGTAACCACTGCACCACCGTGGACAAAAAGGCACTGACGACGGCAAAGTGCCTGATATCAGAGAAAAGCCGTTTTTGAATTGTCTTACCTATAACAACATTATAAGAAAGTCTGAGAGCCACCTGCCACAGCAGCAGCCTGCAGGACCTCAACATCTTCATCTTTGACCTCCTCCACCTGGTAACACAAAGTCAGTGAGCAGTATAGGTAAAGAGCATCAACAAAGTCAACCAACCAACAATCAACACAACCAGCCAAGTTTCTCAGGTAGGGAGGGCTAGAGCCTATCCCAGCTGTCTGAGGGTACACCCAGGGGACTGTGGGAGGAAGTCAGAGTACATGCAAACTCCACACAGAAAGGCCCCAGTTGGTCAAATTGAACTTAGGAACTTCTTGCTGTCAGGCAACAAGTGTGGCTCAGTGGAATATGTAAAAAAAAAACTATATATCTTGAAATATATTTGATATATGAAGTTATGACTGAGATGAAATGACCTTAGTCTCTACACCATCGTCTAACTGCTGTGGATTTCTCTCTAATATTGTTGTTCATCACCTTATAGTATAAAACATCTGGCTCAGCTCCGTTGAGGTGATTTGTTAGCCTGTTTGTGTGAGTTCTCAGATTCATTTCACTTGTTTCATAATCACTGTGTGAACGTAACATCTGAGCAGATTTTATCTATGAGCTGGAAATACGAACTCAGAGGTCACAGTGTAGTCTGCTGTGTTCACATGTGACAAAAAGGTCCTGAGGTGGAACTCTGCAGTGGTCAAACAGAGCTGACCTCAGAGCGGTGAACAAACAAGACGTGACCAAACTGAAAATATGAGCCCTGAGCTCTGCCGCGGTCCACTAAAATGTCACATGATCATATTTTTTATGACCTTCAGCTGCAGCTGTGGAGTCAAAACTGGATGAAACTCAAGCTGTGGTATTTTTTTTAAAATTCGGATCAGCGAGAGGAGGATCAGAGGCTGACACCGCTGCTCATATGTCTTTATCAGGTCATCACGACTTTATACGTGTTCAGCTGAAAATCATCACTGCACCTTATCCAGGTTTTATTTTGAAAGGCTCTGCTGTGTTCTCTCCATCTACATCAGGGATGCTCCTGCAGCCTCGAGGATGTGTAGAGTCTCATAAAAAACAGACTGATGATGAAGGCCTATGATTGAAACGTCCTCCTCGAAGGTTTCCTGCTGGTGAACAGTTTCCTGCATTGGTCTCCTCAACCACAAGCTCAGCTTCCTTCTCTTCAGTCCCTGTGTGCTCAAACATAAACCTCACACCTCAGTTTGATTCAAGGTCCCATCACAGGCTGAAAAAGCTTGATCAAACTTGATGGAACAAAGTGTTTAATGTTCGCCATACATGCACACACTCACGCACACTCACACACGCACAATCATAGTACACCACAGTAATTAAGTAACAGATAAAGTGACAGAAAAGTTCCTGTCTTTTTGCAATCTGCTATAGAAATGTCTTTTTTTTTTTTTTATCATGATGGGTTCCCAGCTTAAAAGAAAAGAAAAAACAAACATTTTCTGTAAATGAAAAAAAACTTCCTGTTACAGGGCAGTGCTATCGAAACCTGGAGCAACATTTCTTTGTCATTTAGAGAAACTGAAATGTGCCACCGGAGTTGTACTTCTTTATCTTATATTCAGATGACTCAGGGATTAAATGTGCAGTTAAACATCTTTACGCTGACAGGAAGGCCAGTTTCACCGGTCTGACCCCCCCCCCCCCCCCCCCCCGTACAAGGCCCAGGATGTGAAAGAGTTTAACATCCCTGATCGAAAGTGTAAGAGAACAGAGGAATAAAATGACACAAATCACAAGGAGTAAAACAACACAGCGACAGACACACATGACCAGAGTTTTTACAGCCGTTGGTTCAGATCGCTGCGTGTTGGCCTATGTTAACCCTTCACCTGCCACTTCACTTTTTCCTCTTACCAACTCTTCATCCTTACACAGACTCACCTCGCTCTCTTCTGCTGGCCTACAGTCGGCCGATGTCTCTTGACCTTGCTGCTGATTTCATCCTCATGTCATCACACATTCATGTTTTTGTGTTTCAGCCTTGATCTGTTGTTCTGCTTTGTCCCCAGAGAACAGAGCGCCTTGTCACTGTGTGTGTGTGTGTGTGTGTGTGTGTGTGTGTGTGTGTGTGTGTGTGTGTGTGTGTGTGAGAGAGAGAGAGAGAGAGAGAGCATTAGAGGCTTACCCGGCATTAATGAGCAGGATAAGTAGGCCAACATGCTGCAGGACTTTGAAGCAGCAGGATCCTGTTGGTTCCACCTGCTGCTGCTTTCAGAGCTTATTTCAAACACACAGAAGTAAAACATCCACATCCTTGGAGACGCTGTTTTGGTCAGTATTTCCTGTCAGAGAGCCAATAAGCTCTCAGCTGACTCCTTTATTGTTAAGTTTTGTTTGTAGAAGAAGAAAATGTTTAATTAATGTGGTGTTACAGGAGGCTCTGAGTGGGGTGGGCACACAGACAAACACAGAGCCATAAATGAACACGTCCTGTTTCACAGGTCACAGGACTGAACATGTCACATGACTATGAGTAACTGTCACTGCCATCTGCAAGGATTCTAATCTTGGGTTGAGTTACCACCTTGTCACATGTCAGAAGTTCTTTTGTCTCATTGGTTGTGGCTGCTGTCACGTGTACAGTTTTCCTCACTGACGTTCATGAACATTCAGTTTCCTGTTCGTCATATCTGTCCAGGTTCTGGTAGTGTTGAAAGCCTGAAAAGGAGGCAATTTTTCTTCCTTTTCGTCTGGTGCCGTGTTTGATCCATTCGCTTCCACATCTGGAAAGTCTAAAACAGCTGTGATTCTTGCATTCAAGCCCTTTATTTTGGCAGGAATGAAGTCGGCTAGCTCAGGTGTGGGGATACTCTTAATGGACTTAATGAAACAGTCGCTACTGAGCATGCTCTTTGAATGGAGGCGAGCATGCTCTCATTAATCAAATGACAGCAGTTTTATCGGGGAACCTGGATCAGGACTCTGAGGTCCACCCTCATCCTCACCTCCTCCTTTTTGGGCAGTCAGAGAACAGCTGGAGGAACCAATCAGAGTCAGTGACCTCTGATCCAAACATAGTTACAAACACATACACATCCATGTGCGTGTCAGATGTTTGATCACTAATCACGCTAAAAGAAAGCTTTAAGGCTGTAACCGTGGGGATGAGTGTAGTTTCACTGAGTGTATGGATAAACTGATTCCTGACCTGCACCTGCACACAAAAGAAGCCTAATCGGTTCTCTGTGCAAACAGTAATCTGTTAAAATATGATACTTTAAAAGATAAAGAGAAAAACAATCACCTGTGAAGATTTTTTTTCGAAATTAATGTTTGTTTTGTTAACCTGTCAGTCAAGCACTTTTGTGGCAGTTTCGGGCATTAACATGCTATTCCACATCCAGACACTAGAGGGCGTTTATCATACAGGTGGTAAGTGTGTGAAGCAGAAAAATAACTCTTTGTATTGTGAAGCTAACACCGCTCAATGTGTGTGTGCTGTTTCTGTTCTTTACCACGGGTTAGTAAATATGCATTAACATTATTGAAGACTAGAGAGATTACTTACTAAGCTTACTAAGTGGAAAACTTAGTAAAAGAAGTGCTTTGTTATGAGAATTGTGTATGAATTGTGATTTTTGGCTGTAGCTTACTTGATGCTAATGCTAGCAGGCTTGGCTTAATGTAGAATAGTGTGTGTGTGTGTGTGTGTGTAAGTTAACCTAAACCAAACAAGAAACTGCTGAACTACTGCTGAGCTCAACAGTTTTCATACTATGTGGTATTTTTCTGGCTATGAGAACATTTTTGTACTTTAATGCCGGCTATTAGTTAATGAAGTTACTTTATCATTAATGGTGACTGCCTAGGTTCAACTCAGTAAGAGAGCCCCCCATTAAAAGGAGCATTGCACTTTATATAGTTTGTAGATTGCATTAAAACAGTAAGTTTAAATTATTTTTGTAAAGGAGGTGAAAAAATAATAAAAGAGGTGTCACATTGTCAGTTGATTAAAAAAAAACATATCTTGTAAATTGTTTAGTGCCATAACAAGTATTAAAACAGTTAAAAACAAACCAATTTATTATGTTTAACAAATACAGTTAAAAAGGCAGATGGGAGGACAAGTGTGTTTATGTTAATTCATTTTTTAAAAGAATGTGTTTATTGTTGCACTTTGTGGTTGTAATATTATTAATGGACTCAATAAGCCTTTTCATTGTGTTTTGTCAAAGTTGTGGAAATCCTAAGAGATTCATATAGTCTCTACCCCAGGAAAACTATGACCATGTCTTACACTATTACCATGTCTTGTAAGTGGGACTGAAGCAGAAGGCCATTGGTTTACATTCAGTGTAGTAATACCTGCAGCCTGTTCATAGATACTGTTGATAGAAAACGTGTGTCATTTGGTTCCTCAAACAGGGAGTAATTTCACAGCTTCATCGATGACATCGAGCATCATTTTCTGTGCAGAGTAGTGAACAGAGTCGCCAATCAGCCCTGAACCATCACGTTTCATTCTGATAGCAAACGGCAAGCTTCAGATATTTCTGACTGTTTCAGTCTGCAGATGGGAAACCTGACCGATGAGCTCAGATTACAAACACTCAAAACACCAAACCATGCTGGGAGAGTCAGCGCCACACACGGTGCTCCTCTTCTTCTTCTTCTTCTTCTTCTTCTGTGGCCTGACTCATGTCAGTGACTCATTGCTTTCACAGTGGAAAGGACCTGCTGAACACACTCAGGTGTGAATCCTGTGATCAACACTGTGTGTCCAGCTGTTCTTCTCCACATTTAAATCCTGTTTTAAAACCTGGAGCACCCCTACCCTTCACCATTATCCTGCACCTTCGTCTTTCTCATCCTCATCTTTCCGCCTTCAGCATTATTTAAAGGTTAATTTGTCCGGCTGAGCTGCTGTGTCTTTGTTCTGCTGCTCTGACCTTTATGTGGATCTCAGATCTGTTTCTGGTCGTCTGACCAAGGCCAGAGCTTCCTGTTCCTCCTGAATGATCATTTGGATATGAGATAAGTGAGAGGAAGCTGAAACAGCGATCCTGCTGCAGGGAGGTCACTGTGTACTGATCATGGAGGTGATCCAGCATTGAGGTCATTAGTACAAGTCTGGGAAGATCTGCCAGCTGTGTTCATGTTCCCCTGAAGGTCCAGTTTTTAAAGCCTAAGTAAAAGCTGATTTTTGATCACAGTGAGTCCCACTTACCCAACATGTTAACAATGTTAACTATGGTAAACATTCACGGTTTCAGAAACTAGACTACATTTTAGGTCACCTCCAGAGGCCTCAGGGTTCAGGTGTTATTACATGCATGTCCGCAGTACCTCGGTGGAGGTTCAGTTGTATATCTGGTAAATCAGTCCTGACAGGACATGTTGATGTGTCTCTCCTCCTTCAGCTGCTGCTCAGCAGCTTCTTCTTCATATACTATCAGGCCTGAAAGCCTCTGTCAGCACACAGAGAGCTGTTCCTCTAATTTTCAGTCCACTTCTAGTGTCATTTTCATGCCTCAGTCTTTCCTCCCTGTTTCCCTTCATTAAGAACAGCCTCTTGACAGCTGAGAACAATTCTGGCGAGACTTGAGTGAACAGTAGATGATCAGCTGAAGGTCCAGATCATCTCTCAGCTCCTCTGTCAGGTCTTTGCTGGATTTTTTTTAATGACTTTCAGATCCTGTTCATCTGTTGTAGAAAGGTTTAGCCCTCACACTTCTTCTGTACATATTTCTCTCTTATTTTTAGGGACACACTGCACACCATGCTGAAAACCAATTCCAAGTTGTCAGCTAACAGCTCTTGTGGAATCACCTTGTTGTGTTTGTGTGACATGCTGCTAGTAATAAAGAGCCTAAAGACACAATTTAAACCTGGTTCTTTCCTCAGGTGTCTATTATATGCAGACATAACACTGGTTCATCCTGGATTTAGGAGCCTTTTCATGCTTGATTGATTCAGAGGTCAGAGTTCTGTCAGGGTCTGGGTAGTTTTCCACTGCATCGGTTCCTCCCCTCTGGGTGGAGTCTTTGTTTTTCCTCACCTGATGGCAATCACACCGGCAGTATTTATGACCTGCGCACAACTAGTCTTCGCCAGATTATCTGCCAACTTTAGTCAGTTCTCGGCCTCACGTCTGTACCTTGGTGTATCATCGTGTGTACTTACCTTATTCCTTTGTTTTCTCGTCAGCATCTGGAACCCACCTACCAAGTCTCCTCCGTACAAGCTCTCCTGGATTCTGGTTTGCAGCTGCTGGTAACGTCTCCCCTTTCAAACTGCCAGTCTCTCTGGCCTGCCTCCCTGCATTTCACGCAGTACTCACCTGAACCTTTGTCTCCTGTCTTCCCCCTCCAAGCAACCTCCACCTGCAAGCACGTAAGGCAGCCCAGTGTAATTATTCTCGGATTAACAGCTCTCTGTTGGATTCCCGTGACTGCTCTCTCCTCTGTTTCAGTGCCCTGGCCAGCCAAAGTTTCCCCTGCCCAGTCCCTGCACCCAGTCGTCACTGCTATCTAGTCATAGTTTTGTTATGGTCATAGTTTCTCTTGCCTCAGATGTCTAGTTTAATTTCCTTAATAATAGTCTAAGTTTTCTGTTAGCTTCCAAGCGTTGTGAATAAAGACTCTTTTGTTACACCGAGTCCATCCCTTTTCCACGGGCCACTGTGCCGTGGCAAGTTCAGGCACGCAAACTTCTAACACACAAAAAACATTCCAATACAAGGACTGGTCTAAAACAGTGAAAAGCAGCCTTTAGAAAGCTGCAGAGCTATTGCTCAAGAATACTTTAACAATACAGAAAAATCTGGCTGCTTGGATTATAAAGTAATGAGGGGTGGCCCAAGACTTTTGCATACTGTGTTTCAGCCCTTCACTCATTTTTATTTCCAGCCTTTGTTCATGTTTTTATGGTGTTTTCATCACTGCTGAGCATGAGTGTGTGTTTCAGCTCTCAGTTTGTTTTGCAGAGGGTGGCCGAGGCCCGGGTGTTTGTACGGGACAGTTAATAAAACATGGCCTGGGAATTGGTCTGTGAAGTGAAGAGCTGCTGCTGTCTGTGTGCTGTTCATGCTTCAGCTACATCACAGACACCCTGAGTCTGCAGAGTCTTGATGAAGCTCAAAGCTGAGATAGAAAAGCTCTCTGTTTTACTCTACATGTTTTTATTGAGTAAAACTAAATCAACACACAGATGAAGCAAAGTCAGCTCCACAACTTAGTCATTTGAGCAGAATAAAGCCCTCTGATTTCCAGATGGACTTCTGAACACCCATGTTTATTACATGTGTGGATGAGATGCTCCCCATCACCATGGTTACCTCTGGTCATTAAGGGGTCTCCCCACTCTGATGAAGGAGGTCATCACATCAGACTGTGATGAAGCTACTTCAGAGACACACAAACTCAGATATCTGCAGGAGTGCTCTGACAGGTGCAGGCAGTTCCACCCACACAGTGGGGTGTCATTACTTTAAAACAAAAGGTGAATGAGCAGCTTCACTGACAGCCTGCAGACAGGCGATGCCTTGGATGCGACGAGCACGAGAACAGGTGAACAAACTGGAGCTTCTCTGATGACTCAGTGGCTCTGGGCTGCATCCTGACTCTTCTTCTGCATCTTTTTAATGAGCTGCCAGACCTCCACCTGTGACATAAAACTCACCTGGCCAAGACCCCCACCCCCAGGGCAGTCACATCCTGCTGGGTATCTGCTGTTACCCCACAGATCAGCTGCTCCCATCAAACAGTCTTTAATCTCTTTATTGTGTTTGTTCAAATGACACAGAAGTTTGCTCAGCTACATTTCATCACCTTCATGCCACAGATCAGAATACTACAAACACCATCTGTCCTCAACGAGCTTCACCACAAAACTGACGGAAACATCCAGGTCCACATGAAGCTCTCTGCTTCAGTCACAAAAACACTGTACAAACAGTCAAAGTAAATTCTTATGAGCTGCAAACTTTAAACACGGAAAC